TGTTATTGTTAAGTTTTATTTGTATTCACGATGAGTAACTGTAACTTTAAATTAAGAACTTTGTAAAATTTGAATGTTTCGATATCTGATAAATTGTCGAAGATGTATAACGACATAAATGAGTATCTCTATAACAATAGAATAAACTACCGGCTGTTGATAATAACCTAAAGATTATACTTTTTGTGTGTTCGATCTGATTGTTTCAATATCAGGGTTAAATCTTAGATATATTTAATGAACTCAAATAAATTTTAGGTATGTACCCACTCACTAAAAAATAGAAATGAAAATATGCAAATTCATCACGTTATTTCATTAATCTCCTTTGTAGGAAGATATATTTTGGAAGTTATCTGTAATTATAGTTATTTTACGTTAAGGTCTGTTATTGATAATAGATGGTATATTTACAGGAATATTCGTTTAATAAGCCTACTCATTATTATTTTGTGTGTAATAAACTTAACTATAAATTTTTATTGTCAATTTCCTATTATCGTAAAAGAATTCTATTCTAGAGATGCTATGTTAAATCAAACTAATTTCTGAATAAATAGCTATTTAAAACATATACGTTTATAAATAAGACTATCTAGAATTAATCTAACATAATCTTTTATAAGAATTTAAATAAGATATAATTATGGTCGTTTGTGGTTTTTGAAAGACAAGTTTGTCGATCCTACCTAAAAATCTTTGCTCAACTTAATAGGAGTTTCGGTAACATATATTTCGTCGTAATGATTAGGTAACCCTAGTATAATTCGTAACGTTTTAAACAATTTTCTGTTATTGTTAAGTTTTATTTGTATTCACGATGAGTAACTGTAACTTTAAATTAAGAACTTTGTAAAATTTGAATGTTTCGATATCTGATAAATTGTCGAAGATGTTTAACGACATAAATGAGTATCTCTATAACAATAGAATGAAATACCGGCGGTTGGTAATAACCTAAAGGTTATACCTTTTGTGTGTTCGATCTCATTGTTTCAATATCAGGGTTAAATCCTTAGAATATATTTAATGAACTCAAATAAGTTTTAGGTATGTACACACTCATTAAAAAATAGAAATGAAAAAATGCATATTCATCATGTTATTTCATTAATCTCCTTTGTAGGTAGATATATTTTGGAAGTTATCTGTAATTATAGTTATTTTACGTTAAGGTCTGTTATTGATAATAGATGGTATATTTACAGGAATATTCGTTTAATAAGCCTACTCATTATTATTTTGTGTGTAATAAACTTAACTATAAATTTTTATTGTCAATTGCCTATTATCGTAAAAGAATTCTTTTCTAGAGATGCTATGTTAAAACAAACTAATTTCTGAATAAATAGCTATTTAAAACATATACGTTTATAAATAAGACTATCTAGAATTAATCTAACATAATCATTTATAAGAATTTTAATAAGCTATAATTATGGTCGTTTGTGGTTTTTGAAAGATAAGTTTGTCGATCCTACCTAAAAATCTTTACTCAACTTAATAGGAGGTTCGGTAACATATATTTCGTCGTCATGATTAGGTAACCCTTGTATAATTCGTAATGTTTTAAAAAATTTTCTGTTATTGTTAAGTTATATTTGTATTCACGATGAGTATCTGTAAGTATAAATTAGGAACTTTGAAAAATCTGAATGTTTCGATATCTGATAAATTGTCGAAGATGTTTTTGAAAGATAAGTTTGTCGATCCTACCTAAAAATCTTTACTCAACTGAATAGGAGGTTCGGTAACATATATTTCGTCGTCATGATTAGGTAACCCTTGTTTAATTCGTAATGTTTTAAACAATTTTCTGTTATTGTTAAGTTTTATTTGTATTCACGACGAGTAACTGTAAGTTTAAATTAAGAACTTTGGAAAATTTGAATGTTTCGATATCTGATAAATTGTCGAAGATGTATAACGACATAAATGAGTATCTCTATAACAATAGAATAAACTACCGGCGGTTGGTAATAACCTAAAGATTATACCTTTTTGTGTTCGATCTCATTGTTTCAATATCAGGGTTAAATCTTTAGATTTATTAAATGAACTGAAATAAGTTTTAGGTATGTACCCACTCATTAAAAAATAGAAATGAAAAAATGCATATTCATCATGTTATTTCATTAATCTCCTTTGTAGGTAGATATATTTTGGAAGTTATCTGTAATTATAGTTATTTTACGTTAAGGTCTGTTATTGATAATAGATGGTATATTTACAGGAATATTCGTTTAATAAGCCTACTCATTATTATTTTGTGTGTAATAAACTTAACTATAAATTTTTATTGTCAATTGCCTATTATCGTAAAAGAATTCTTTTCTAGAGATGCTATGTTAAATCAAACTAATTTCTGAATAAATAGCTATTTAGAACATATACGTTTATAAAGAAGACTATCTAGAATTAATCTAACATAATCATTTATAAGAATTTAAATAAGATTTAATTATGGTCGTTTGTGGTTTTTGAAAGATAAGTTTGTCGATCCTACCTAAAAATCTTTACTCAACTTAAAAGGAGTTTTGGTAACATATATTTCTTCGTAATGATTAGTTAACCCTAGTATAATTCGTAACGTTTTAAAAAATTGTCTGTTATTGTTAAGTTATATTTGTATTCACGATGAGTATCTGTAAGTATAAATTAGGAACTTTGAAAAATCTGAATGTTTCGATATCTGATAAATTGTCGAAGATGTATAACGACATAAATGAGTATCTCTATAACAATAGAATGAAATACCGGCGGTTGGTAATAACCTAAAGATTATACCTTTTGTGTGTTCGATCTCATTGTTTCAATATCAGGGTTAAATCTTTAGATATATTTAATGAACTCAAATAAGTATTTGGTATGTACCCACTCGTTAAAATATAGAAATGAAAAAATGCATATTCATCATGTTATTTCATTAATCTCCTTTGTAGGTAGATATATTTTGGAAGTTATCTGTAATTGTAGTTATTTTACGTTAAGGTCTGTTATTGATAATAGATGGTATATTTACAGGAATATTCGTTTAATAAGCCTACTCATTATTATTTTGTGTGTAATAAACTTAACTATACATTTTTATTGTCACGTTATTTCATTAATCTTCTTTGTAGGTAGATATATTTTGGAAGTTATCTGTAATTATAGTTTTTTTACGTTAAGGTCTGTTATTGATAATAGATGGTATATCTACAGGAATATTCGTTTAATAAGCCTACTCATTATTATTTCGTGTGTAATAAACGTAACTATAAATTTTTATTGTCAATTTCCTATTATCGTAAAAGAATTCTTTTCTAGAGATGCTATGTTAAATCAAACTAATTTCTGAATAAATAGCTATTTAAAACATATACGTTTATAAATAAGACTATGTAGAATTAATCTTACATAATCAACTATAAAACTTATAAACTTATAAACCCACTTATAAAAGTATAGAAATAAAAAAATGTATATTCATTATATTATTTTATTCATTTTCTATGTAGGTGGATATATTCATGGAGTTATCCATATTCAAAGTTATTTTATGATTATGACTTTTAAGTTATAATATATCCATATGAATATTCGGACAATAGGCCCACTCATTATTATTTTGTGTGTCATACTTAGCTATCAATATTTATTGTCAATTTCGTATAATCGTAAAAGTATTCTTTTCTTGTGATGCTATGTTAAATAAACTAATTTAAAAATACATTTCTATTTAAAAGATATTTGTTTATATAACAAGACTATCGAGAATTTTTCTAACATAATCTACAATATGAATTCAATTAAGATATGATTTAGAAATGGTCGTTTGTGGTTTTCCAATGTTTTTTGTCGATCCGACCTAAAAATGTGTACACGTCTTATAGATCTTTTGGTGACATATTTCGTCATTTATGATTATCTAAGCCTAAAACATTGCTTAACGTTTTAAATAATGTTTTGTTATTGGTTTTTATTTATTGTATTCACTATTATAGTCAAAAGTATTGTTTTAAGAACTTTACGTTATATGAATGTGCAGATATCCGATATACTGTCGAAGATGTATTTAGACATAATGGTTTTTCTCTACAACTGCAGAGGATCATTTTTCAACATTTAAAGATATAACATTTTCTATTAAGTTCAGCGAATAGATTTCTTGAATGATAAAATAATAGGCAATTTTATGTTGTAAATTGTATTTAAGATATAATTTACAAATGGTCGTTTGTGATACAGATTACAAATCTTCTTAATCTCAAACGTAAAAAATATTTATGAACATTTTAAAATAATATTTAAATGTTATGCTATTCCAATCGTTTTTTTTAGTTTTGAAAATGGAATGGCAGGTAGTTATTTTTTTTTTAGAATATTTGCCAGTTTTTGAACTGTTTGAGCATTTACTATTATGACATATAATTTGAGTTTTTGAGATTGTTTCATGAATAAAATCATATTTTTTATCCCGATATTTCAATCGTTGATGTTTTTTCGGTTCATTAGTTATTCAGATGAAAGATCGGTGTTTTTTATGCAATTATATCTAATCTTTGTCTGTGATAATTCCCATTTCTACAAGAATTCCTTTTAATCATATTCCTTCTTGAATCGCAGATTTTCAAAGCTAATTAGTCTGCTTCAGTTGATTACAAGGCTACAGTTGATTATTTTCTATTTGACACCAACGGACTATGGAACCAAAAATTAGATACAGATATCCAGAAGTAGATTTTTGGTCATTAATATTGTCAACAAAATTAGTTTCAACAAAACCTTGAAGTGGATCTATGTTATTGTTCTTAATGTAGGTCAATCCAAAAAAAAAAATATTGCCCTTTAAATATCCTTTTTACTCTTTTCAAGTGATTTAAATGATCTTCATTGGCTTTAGATTGATATCGGTTATAATAATTTACTGCTGTACTATTGTCTCGTCTGGTTTGAATCATCACATACATCAAAGATCCCACAAGTTCACGATTTGGTTTACTTATTGATCTTTTTTCTTTAAATTTTAATTTCCTCTCCATCGGTGTTAATATTGATTAACGTTTATTTATACCAAATTTATGTAGTAGGCTTTCAAGATATTTTGTTTGACTCGTTTTTAAAATATTATTATTATTATTTTTATATATGTTCAATTTTATTTCCTAAGAAGGATCTTGCATCCCTTTGATCTGTTAACTTGAATTCTTCACTAAGTAGTTTTCTTAAATTGTTTACTTCCTTCATCGAGTTACCTGCCACCAGCACATCATCTTTATACAACAATAAATACAAATTATTGTCATTAATTCTACATACAAACATTGATCGGATTTGTTTCTTGTTAAACCTTGTTGACATATGAAATTATTAAAACGTTTATTTCAACAGTTTAAAGATTTTTTAAGACCATAGAGTGATTTATGTAGTTTGAAAACCAAACCACTTTCTTGGTCAAAACCATCAGGTTGTTTCATGTAAAGTTCTTCCTCTAAAATATCATTGAGAAAAGCTGTAGTCATATCCATCTGAATGAGGTGTAGATTCCTTTGATTTACTATTGCAAGTAGGGTTTATATTGTAATGATATTCACTACAGGTAAGTATCAGTATAATCAAAACCTTTTATTTGTGTATATCCTTTAGTTACTAATCTAGCTTTGTAACTTAATGGATTTCCTTCTTTATTCAATTTTAATTTGAATATCCATTTATTTTTTATAATATATAAATATATTTATATACATTAAATATGCATGTAACTGCAAGCAGGATGTCTTTATATCTATATCTACTTAAAATATGTCATTATTTCTTTTAAAATACGTTTAATTTTATTCACTAATGAAGAACACATTTTATGTAAATATTTTACAAGCATATTTTCGTTTTGAACCAAATATAGGTACGTTTTATTTAAACATTTTGAAAGAATATGATGTCGTGTATACATACAATTAATTAAATTAGAACTTGTATTATTTTTATTAGTATTATTATTTTAAATATCTTGTGCATTAGGTTATTTAGTATAGAAGTTTAGTTTGAAGGAATTCATATGTAACTTACGCATTATTTATAAAAATAAAAATAAAGTTAAGTTAGGCTTATAACAAATTCGAAGAGGTGTTCCGTAAGAGATCGGCTTTTAGCACTTTTAGGTGTTCGATATTCAGGTTTGAATTTAGGTATATTGGTGGCTTGGGCAACATTTAACTTTGAATCTTATTAAGCAACATACATTTAATGTTATTATAATAATATATATAAAATATTCTTTATGCTTTAAGAAGAAATACTAATTTTTATTATTATTTTTCTTGTGCATGTGCAAATTTCTTAATAACAAAGTTTATTGTTGTAATTAAACCAGCTTTTATGTTCATAACTATTAATATTTGAAGAGTCTTTCTTGCCTACATTGGACTTTAGGTGTTATTGTATCCGTCTGATCGTGGTTTATAATCACTCTCATTTGAACAGTTATAACTACAATGCATTATAACATTTTTAAAGCAATGTCCAATATAAGGATAGATAATAATATCTACCTAATACTTAATCGATTTGAATTAACTGCAACTCTCATTATTATAATATTTATATATAGGGTAGTCGTGCATTTAAAACTATAAATATCATCTGGTGTAATTGGTACATATATTTATTTGTATAGTTAAATGTTTTATGTGTAGGTAATTAATTTATCTTAAAAGGATATTGAATTTATTTGAAATAGGACAAAAATACAATTTCTTTTATATATAAAAACATATATATATATAAGGGTGGGTGGGTGGGTAGGTAGGTAGGTAGGTAGGTAGGTAGGTAGGTAGGTAGGTAGGTAGGTAGGTAGGTAGGTATGTATGTATGTATGTAGGTTATAATGTGTTTGCTCGTTTGCTAAAATAATATTTCTTTATAGCATTTGATTGTTGAATATATAATATTTATTAATTTTTTTTTAGTTTGTGACTCCATTTATAGGTTTAACAAATTAAGTTTTTGGTGTTTTTTTAAGTGGTTGCATATTGAATTCAGTTCTTATATAGGTACTTTATTTATTTTTTCTTAGTACCATATTATATCAAAAAAATTATTCTGCTCTTCGTTTGTGAGATTTTTTAAATAAAATATTAAAATAATATGTTCAATTAGGTACCTAAACAAACTTGATAGTATGTGTAATTGCCATTATTTTTTTATAAGGTGTTTCAAAATATTTAAAATAACGACTTTTAGAGCTACATTATCATCATTATTATTATTATTATTATTTTTGCTTATTACTATTATTGTATTTATACCATTTTACTTATTATTATTATTATTACTAGGAGTTACATTAGATGCTAATTTCTATAGCCAATTTCTATTTTCCAATCGCTAAAGCAATTAAAAAAAATAAAATAAATATGGTTATTATTATTTGTCTTGAATCCATGTATGATGCAGGAATGTAGACTGTATTATGATACAATGAACTATAATATACATTATATCAATTAATTCGTGTAATTGAACTCACAGTGTACCAAATATATCAATAGTTTTTAATTATATTACATATATGACAAATTACTTTTTAAAATAGATATTTTAATTTATGAATCTCTGATTTTTTTTTTTGTTGTAAATATGAAGTTTTTAAACGGTTTTCTCACATTTATTTGTTCAGTGTGTTATAGTAGGAGGGATTAGAAATAAAATGCACTTTCCTTTTAAAATATTATCATACCCATATTCCAGCTGAGTTAAAATAAAGTAAGACAAAGTCTAATTACGTATAATCTAACAGGTCTTAAACAATTTTTTTGAATATAATTAATTAGAGTATCTAAAATTTAATTTTTTTAAAATTTCAATGTGTTTTGTTTTAATATTTTATAAATAGACGAGTTGGTTTAGCATTATTACTTCACAATAAACAGTATTTATGTAGATATTTCAATAATAGATGAAAATCTTTTAAGTATCATTAATATTTTTCAACATATTATATTATATTTTACATTCAAATATTCCAATGTAGTATTGTTTTGCTTTTAATATTAGATTGATAAAGATGTAATATGTAAGATGTAAGGTGAACATAGTTCAAAATAAAACGTTTTATAAAAATGTTCATCTAAAATTATGTAAGTATTTAATTAATAACGATATTAACGTATAAAAGGAAATTGTATATTTAGTAAATATTCAGAATAATAATATAATGTAGTAATTTAATGGATGTACTTATGATATAATTTGAATTTATTTATTTTCAATTAATTAAAAGTTTTGAGTGCAACATGTACATGCGTATTCAAACATATGTCCAAACATATTTTTGTTTTTTTATTCATCATATCACTTCAGTTATTATTTTAATAATTTTTTTATGAACTTTATGTATTTATTTTTTTATGAACTTAAATACATATTGGCAAAGGAAAAAGTTTTATTTTTGCAATATAAAACTGATAAAAGTACGTAACATAATTTTAAATTTTTTAAATCTTAGAGTTCTATACTTTTCGGTTTATAGCTTTAGGTTTATTAAAAAAATTACCCAATCTGACTAGTAAAGTGACATTGTGATCGTGCCACTATATTACATCTATTTTGGCTGAGATAATAGGTTAAGTTTGTATTAGTTACAATGTATTGGTGTTGGACAAGTTAAGAATTCTAACACAAAGTCGTTACTTTAGGTCACAGTTTTTATATGACTCTGAGGAGATATAGCATATTATTAGCTGCGTAACCGTTTTTACAATAAACATGTTTATATTGAATTCGAATTAATATTGTGTTGGAATTTTTTTTTGTTAATTTATTATACGTACAATAATTATTATATTTTTTTTTTTTTATTTTATACTCCTTGATTAGAAATTACATGTTAAACAATATAGGATTAGAAAAATCAAATATTTTTAAACTTCATTTAAGTGGTTTTTTCTTCCTTTAATTGTTAGAACAAATTTTATTTTATTTTGTGTACAGGTATTGAATAAATACCATGATTAATCATGTATTGCTCGACCGACTCATTTAATACACCATATACGATGTTAATTTGTAATTTTTAAAACATATAATACAGTTAGAAATGTAGTATCTATATATACATTAAGGTAGTATCTATAATAATAATTAGCGGAGCCGAACTCTGTCTTATGTTAAACTTAACTCCACACACCGTAATATATTATAATAATTATCAATTTGTCCTATACTAACCGATTATATTATTTTATTATATTTATGACGACGGTTAAATTACAAAGTATAGGAACGACCACTTGTCGCGATTAGTTTTTTTTTTTTTTTTTTTTTTATTTTTTTTTTTGTAAATAATAACGTGTCTAACATCAGAGTAATAATAAATAAAACAAAAATAAAATTATAACTAGTCAATTTTAACATTATTCAGGATAATGAAAATATTTAACTGTCGTGAATGTCTGTTTATACCCATTTAAAAGGGTTTATTAAAGTAAACGTCATTAATAATTTAATTTTAATTTGTATGCAGTAACGTGTTTTGCTGTTCAAAAATTATTGTTTTAATTTAATATAGGAAAGACCCGACATACCTAATTAAAATATATTGAAATTATTCTTATAATATATTATGCGGTTAAAGTTTGGTTCCGCTGCGAATTATAATATTTCTCTAGAATGACAATAAATTATTATGTTTGTATTTTTTTTTTTTTTTAATTTGTTTTAGATTTATTTTCACACAAAAAAAAAACAATAGATATGTATACACACGTACGGAATTCTCATTAATTTGATCTTACAAACTTATGCAGTGCTAAAAGTTTTATAGAGGGAAATCGTGGCGGACCGAATCAAGTCTTCTGTGACTAAAAAAAAAAAAATTGTTCGTCGTATAGTGAGGTTTTCTTTATACATAACTTATTATATTTTATTTTATTTTATTGTATCTCAGTGTTAAATTATATTTTATATTTTTTTTATAATAATTGAAAAAAGAAACATCCCAATCCACGTTGTATTTTTAGGTTTCCGAACCTCGTATGCATCAGAGACGATAATATATATATATATATAAAGAACCATAATACAATGATGTTATATTGGTATTTTTATAGAGTCTACGTTCAATATAGATTTTCAGCAAAAGAATAAAAAGTAAAACGGTGAATATTTTTGGACCACCGAGAGTTTATAGAATCTCATGATATGTTGTGTTATACTGCGAGGAGTCGAAAACCTCGAAGTACCATGCACAATAACTATTTGCGCAAATATAAACCGAAGTATAAATAGCTGAGTTTATTTGATGTTGCGTACAGGTCTCATTGAACAAGTGATATACTCATACGTTTATTTATTAATTAAATTTTAAAATTAAAAAATTACTTTGTAAAAAAGACAAAAAAAAAAAGTAAAATAAAATGTATACTATTTGTATTTGTCCATTTTTTTCTTTTATATCAATAATTTAAAATTTCACAGCGATCAGCGAGGAGAAAATATATACATATCTATGTGTTGTATTCCCGAGGGTCGAGAAAAGCTTGATGCCACAAGTCTTGTTTTTATATGTATAAATTATATATATATTTATGTATGTAAATTGATGCAATTACGACCGCTTCCCCGTGGTTCATATAATGTAAGGGATACAATTATTTTTTTTAAAATTGTTTTTTTTTGTCTTGTGTCATTTTTTGTTTTTGATAGCATGTCTTTAATATAGTTATATGACAAATTTGCATGTTTGCCTCTCGTGGATTATATTACTATATACATGTCAAAAAGCGTATAATAAACACAATATAGATGTTATTATGGTACATGGATCTCAATGCAATTAAAATGCATACATAATATGCGAACGACGATGATATTATATGTGACTTTAAACAATATGTTTTCTCAATTGTAAATATTCGAACCCAATGAATAATAATTGTCAATACACGTATAATAATACATTATATAATAATATTATTATTGTGTATACTATAATTAGTACTCATGGTTCACGAAAGTAATATTAATAATAAACTATTTTATGGAAAATTATTATATTTTATTTCACCATCCATATAAATTATTATACGCTTAAAATTTTGTCTCGCGGGGCGGCGATCATGCAAATGTTAAAATTAACTTAGTCGTAATAAACTTGTGAAACATGTCATCGTATGTATTTGGTGTATTATATGAGTTCGGTTCGTTTGTTGTAACAATTTCTATGTTAATTATGATGATTATACGACGAAAACAAAAATGGGTGTAAAATAAATATAGTGTTGTTTTTAATGTATATATATATATATATATATATAGATATAGATATAGATATAATAATTGTTTTTTTATTTCACGAGGTATTTAATAAGTCAACGTGTTTTATAATAATATATAACAAAAACAGTTTTTTTTTCTTTTTAAAAGATTGAAAATTCAATATAATTCAATGACCATAACAGATTTATTTCAACATAATAACTTAGTATTTTATTAAAAAAATTGTTTGTACCTTGTTCAAGATACTAGTACATTGTAAGTCTGCGGGGATTTTATTGATAATTTTGGTATACGCATGACCATTCTCGCGCGTACGTATTAAAATTTATTTTATTTTAATGAAGCTTATGCTTATAAATTCTCCACGGATTTGATTAGGCCTGAAATCATACCTACGGTGTAAAAACAGGACTGACCTAATGAGTCATCACTAAATAGTAAATAAAAGTAATTTTTGTTTCATTTTCGAATTATTAAAATGTCGCTTTTTCAAAGAAAAGTACACACATCATCACCTCTTTTAACTTAATAAATATTAATAATTTGTAAATTTTACTAGTGATTGCGTGTATTTTTGCTACCATTGAAGAATTCCATATTGATAATTATATTGTATACAGTTATTATGCTTGGTTGTATAAATTATATATATATATAAAATAAATGTATTTATTTATTACACACAATTACATAATGCTTTGATTATTTAGGTTTTAACATAAGTAATCATGTAATAATAATATCAAATTAAATACAAACTATATAAAATGGCGTTTTAAAAAAAAAAGTAAAGAAATTATGTAGCGATTTGCTATTTTTAAATTTTTTATTTTGACAGTCAAATCTAAACAAAATATTCATGGCTATAGACATATATTATACACCTATATATATTAGAATATTATACTATATTTATAATGAATATCATAGTATTGGTAATTGTAATTATTGAAATTTGTTTTTCAACATTAATGTATGAATATAAAACAATCAATCAATATATTTAACAGCGCTGTAAAATCTTGTTCCAAAATTAAAAATTTAAATTGAATTTTAATGGATTCTGTGTTCAATTTTACCGAATCAACTCATTCAGATTTCTTATTCTTATTTGGAGTGATTTAAATGTTTGCCAGGGATAGCGTATTATACTGGATAACAGAATTAAAATGATACAATCATATGTTCGTGTTCCATAATCCAACGTAATATAAATATTTTGTCCATCGTTTAAATGAATTGTGGAAGGCTGCAAGGCTATTTTATATAATATATTGTCCTATATAGGTAATACCTATGTAATCAGTTTCAAAAAGTCACATTTTTCATATAATAATATTATTAACAACACACTAGTCTCATTAATTGATATCAATACAATTTAACCCAAACTAACTTTACTACACTTGTATCGTACGTTAAAGATATTTACTAAAGTTGGCACTTGCATAATCTTCGTAATATTATCTTAATGTTTTTTAATACTTAGACACTAATTTAATGTGATTTATAATACATTGCACTCGGATATATATAAAGAAAAAAAGAAAAATTAATAATTAATACTGATTCTTTGGATTAATAAGTATGTATGATGGTATTAATTGTATTTTTTAAGATTAATATTATTTAATTTATATTATAAGTATAATCTATTGCCATTACTTTGCTGATAACAATTTAAAAATCTTGTTGTTCTATTTTCTGTATCAAAGTTTTTTGATATTTTATGACAGGTAGTGTTATTATAAATGCATTAGGGGGTATACAATCGTTTAGTTACTTCACTTTATATTGTATCTTGTACATATTTTCACTGCTTTTGTGTTACAATGTGAGTAAAGATTATCATCGCAATGTCGCAATATGGTGATGTATACAAATGTAAGGGACAAAATAGTTATACTATGTATACTATTTTTACTAAATTATATATGTTTAATTAAAGCCAAAATAATAAATTATGAATACGAGTAGGTTGTTTCTTTAGTGTACAATTATCTTTATCTGCACTGAAATGGTTAGAAAAATAATTAATTCCGTATACAATCTTTTCGTATAGTTGTATTTCGATTTTAGGCTAATGTTTGTACAGACGATAAAAAGTCAACCTCCGTCGAAAATATTATCTATTGAAAAAAGTTAATTCAAAATTTTATTTTAATAATGAAGTAATCAATAATCGCAAAAGGGTTTTATGAAAGGGTTTTCCTATAAAAATTATTTCTTGAAATCTAATTTAGTGAAGTAATAATGCTACTCTAAATGTCATTGTTTTTTTTTTTTTTTTTTTTTTTTAAAACTATAAATAAGTCATCAAATTGACTTTTTCATCGAAACGATTTTTTGATTTCCATTATTGTTAGTGCGTTTGGTGACCTTCCTTAAGTTTTTTCTTTAAAAAAATAATGTATCCCATAATATTATGTTAGTTTAAACAATACGGTCACGAAAGGTAGACGAAATCGATCCTCATAGAAAAATTAATCATTTTTAATCACTTGTTGGGCGTTTTTAGTCTTCCTTGTACTATAAGTGACCTATATATTTGTGATGTTATGTATACAAAGATATATGCTGTTATTAATCATTTTTTCATTCTTTTTATATCACGTTTTGTAAAAAAGTTAAGCGCATGTGCATTATAAACTAGACGTTCTTCGTATTGACTTTAAATTTATAAGTCTTAAACAAACCCTTAACGTTAATAAGAACTCTCGCAAATGAATTTCCATGGAATGTGTTCTATTGTCGGTTTTTTGATTTCTAATGTTGTTAGTGCGATTGGTGACCTTCCTCAAGTTTTTTCTTTAAAATAATAATGTATCCCATAATATAATGTTAGTTTAAACAATACG